ATTATGGGTTTGGCTCAGTGTTAGAAGTCGGAGTACAGCAGCAGCAGCATGTATCGGATCTGTTCGCCATCCGAGGTGAGTCTTCTCACTATACTTACTTGTGTGGTGATTTGTGTGTGACCGGAGGGTCTTGTTCGTGTTATTGAACAGAGGGTCTTATTTGCACTATTGACCGGAGGGTCTTAGTACATTATTGACCAGAGGGTCTCAGTACATATAGACCAGAGGGTCTTAGTACATTATCGACCGCAGGGTCTTATTTGTTTATAATGTGTTATGTGTTATCGTGCATATTGTCTTTATGACTTATGCTGTTATGGCAATCTGTTTATATATTGATCTCATGTGTTTATTTGAGTACTGTGATATCCTGCATTATGTCTATGTGATTTATGTTGTGTATTTATTATGAGCTTACAGAGTTAGGACCGGAGGGTCCACAGAGTTAGGACCGAAGGGTCCATTAGAGTTGTGGGACCGGAGGGTCCTACTGAGACACATTGACCGGAGGGTCTTACAGAGTTATAGCCTCGAGTAAATAATGAGTTGTATTTGGTATTTTGGGGAACTCACTAAGCTTCATGCTTACCGTGTTATGTGATATGTGTTTCAGGTACTTCTCAGAGTCGCGGGAAGGCGCCAGCTTGATTGTACACACGAGATAAAGAGTTATGTTTTGGAGGATCCTGGATTATTAATCAAACAATTATGGAGTTGTGTTTTGTTAATTTGATAATTGGGATTTTTGTGAAATGTATTACGAGAATTTATAATTTAAAAATGAAAAAAAAAATTGTTTGAAAATTTACGGTGTTACACAAGAAATGGTTCCATAATGCTAGAAAGGCTAGATCTATGACCTACAAGCATAAAGTTTGAAGCTTTTTACCTTCTGGAGCTTCTAGGGCACAACACAACTTCAGATCTACAAGCCAATCTCCTTATTCAACTATTTGTTGCAATGGCTTCACCTTTAAGAGCTCAAAATACCCACCAACTCACTTTCACACACAAGAACTAGGGTTTGGGGATGTTCGGGAAGATGGAGGCTGAGAAGGAGGAGAGAAAATGAGCCATAAGGATGTTTATATAGTCCCCAACCCGAGATATTAGGGTTTCCTTCTGTTATGAGTACACCCAGTGTACACAAGTGTACACCCAGCGTACTAGGGCGCGCCCTAGTACGCTCAATGTACCCTTATGTACGCGCAGCGTACTCCTCTTGGTCCCAAAATTACAATTTAGCCCTTAGGCTCTTCATGGCTTTACCCTTCCATCCCCACGGACTAAGAATGACAAACTTGGGATGTTACAAGTTGATGGAAGTGAGAAAAAGTAAAAGAAATTGGTGTTCATGGGTTCCATTAAAAAATATGAATTGGAAAGAAATAGAAGGAAAACTTTCTCTCCTAACTTTCATTTCAATCTGGAAGGATTTAGAGAGAAATAAACAAAATGTTTAATTGTCCTTTGACTTTTCTCCAACTCCGGAACACAAAATACAAATTTATTTTCATTTCCATTCTCTTCTTTTATCTCCTAAACTTCTTTCCCATTCTTTCCGTTTATTTGTTAATAATCGAGAACTAGGCGTGAAACACATATGCAAGCTATAAAGCTCATCACTTGTGTTTAATCTTGGTGTACACTGCACTTCGACATTCAGTGATTAGAAGCGGTCCCAGATTATGAGTTTAGGATTGACCTAATAACTTGGGGACTAAGTCTAACATGTCTGATCATGCGCCATCTTATGTTGGTGATGCCTTAGGCCTATAGGACCCAATCAATAAAATATCTCTAGTTTGTGTTAGTGATTTTAGTGTTATCAACATATTTTGGTGTAATTATTATTAATATGGAGATAGGTTGCCTTATATTTACTCACCGATACTGGAGGTGTGGGGTGCACACTTGAAGTGATAATATGAACTCGAGAATACGGGGGTCCGGGGTAACGCCCCTAGGTGCAAGGTTCGAAGGGGCAATGCCCCTGGCGAGCTCTAGGGGTAGCGCCCTTACGGGGTCCAAAGGACAAGGCCCCTTGCAGGGTCCAAAGGACAAAGCCCCTGGCGGTGGTCCAACGAATTTCTATAACAAGAAAGAGCCCAAACACACATTTCCCACCAAAAATAGGTTGTGGCGGTTGGATTATGTGTATAAGGTCTTAACTAAATTTGTATAATCTTAGTGAATAAAAGTAAAGTCCTTTTTATGTTGCCCTCATAACTAGGAAAATAGATGGGATTGAAATTTATAGAGAGATAAAATGATTTATTAATATATTATATGATTAATATATTAATTAGAAATAGTTAATAATTAATTAAGAATTAGTCAGAATTAATTGGAATTAATTTTGGGTTAATTAGAATTAATAAATGGTGCAAGGTATGAATTGTAATTGTTTAATAGTTGAGCAATGAATGTGATTCTAGATCCTTCCCTTGCTATGGACGGTTTCAAGGAGAGCTAGGAATGGTTCTGGAAGCCTCCTGAATCAGATAACGAAACAAAATTTGAATCTGATTAAAATACTTTTATTTTACTATTCAAATCTAGGGTTTCAAGGTTATATGACATCTATATAAGGTTCATAACCCTTTGAAAAACCGATCCCTAGTTTGACTAATAGAGAAATCAGAATTTCTCCTCTCCCCTCTCCATATTTTGATTCTAGGGTTTTCTAGGGGGTTTGGGTGTGACACATTAGAGGCTACCACACTATTGGAGCTAGCTTTTCAACGAGCACTACTAGAGAATTGTTTGCATTATTCAGTTGTTGCAAAAGGTATGTGTTTTTGTATCATTCCAATTTTCATAGCATAAGTGTTTATGATAAAAATCCATTGTGCAAACCTTTTGTTGTAACCTAGAAAGCTCATCAGTGACATCATTGTGATGTAAGAATCGGTTATGTCTTATAACAATCTTTCTAACCACTTGTTTGGGCACCATTTTGTATATAACCAACTTCCAACCGTCATCTTCCTTGTATAAAAGGAAGTTGAATGTTCCAGAAAATGGTTAACTGTTTTGATACCTGAAATTGATCATTTGCTCTCATCTGTCTCATCAAAAACGCAAAACAACAAGGTATTTTTTATGTTTCAAATTTGGAAGTGGTATGACTTCTAAATTTTCTGTCTTGGATTATCCCAAATCAGATTTCGTGATAGACCAGATTATAGGGTCGAAATCATAAATTTTTGAAAGTGATTACAATCACAATTCAAGAACTATCCAAGTTTATATTGATATTCTTAAGTTTCAAAATTTATAGTTTGTTTGTGTATGTAGCTTGATTACTCTAATCAAGTGAATCACATTAGAATTATATGTTCGTATTGTTCTTCGCATTTTTATAGTCGTGTTTGTATTAATCGAAATGTTCTTAATACTACATATTTATTATGAATTTCAATAACTTGACCGCTAGCCTCCTATGGAAAAATTAAGGGTTCTGCTATATAACACAACCTTCTATATATTCTACATATTTCTATCCCAAACTCTCCAAAAAATATAAAATAATTGGTCTTCGGATCTTCGCAGATAATGTTTTTTCTTCAAACAATAAAATGCATCACAAACTATTTACTAATTTTTTGGCATACGTCGCTAGATAGCTCTTGCTACATTGTCCCATAACTATTAACTAATACATAAAATTTGTTGCAAAGGCTGATATAGTCAGATACTAATCAAAGTTTTGTAATAAAACAAATTCGTTTAGATGCATTTTGAACGTGTATAGCTCCTTCTCCTTGGACCCATTTTCACTTATTACAAGTGCAGCTTTCATATCAAAAAATCTTGTATCCGTGCAGAGTGAGACAGACATAAGTTTTATTACAAAACCACACTGTTTTTAGTATATACTAAGATTTAAATTACAACATTACACTTGGAACTGAACGTAAATAAAAAACATTCAGTTCAAGAGACAAAGTTATATATATTATATCCAAAAGTGTCACTAACTTTGGGTATAAAAGGTCCCTTCACTTTCGAAAAAAAAAACTTTGGGTATAAAAGTTTTATCATAAGTGCACTAATAAATTCACTATATATAAATATTTCCATCCATCGCATGATTTCCAGGGAACTTTGTTTAACCAACATTAACACCTTCAAAATAAGCATGCCAAAAATATTCATTGATTTTGCATATGAGAAAGTAATTTATCTGGTAAATAAATGCAAGGCTAGGCTACAAGATTAGATCTTTGAGTGCAAATGCTCGATTCGATTCAGTTGTGTGTTAAATCATACAATTACACTTTCTAATAACCATCGTATCATGTTAATAAAAAAAATCTTACAAACAAGTTTGTAGTATACTCTTATATGATAATGCTCAAATAAAATAAAGAAGTTCTAGTTTAATAAGTAATATTCAAGGATATTGAATATTAAATAAACCCATACGTAACAAACGACTATGGTCGTAATTGCTAAAAAGCACCATCTTCATATCATCAATCATTACACAAACAAATCTTTGATGGTTGATTGAACCTGTAATAACAATTACTAAACTTGAGCTTTTGAATCTTTATGAGTTGATCAAACTTGACTTATAATAGCAAAAAGTTGAAACATGTTTGTCAAATTTTCCTTTTGTATTAGCACATTATTTTTCTCACTCAACTGATATAATCCTCAATCCTGGTCCTGGGTTCAACAAGAATATATCCACATATCTTCAAAGATAGAATATTATATAGGGCTAAAGAAATTACAGCATACATCGCTTACATTTATTTAACTTTTTTCAAAATTAAGACATCGGATTTTGAAAAACCTACCCAATTAATTTCTTTTTTCTTATCAGCACATTATAGTTTTGACATAACTATAGCAGTGAAAATTGTTTTGTTTTTAATCATTGCCATTTCATGTCAATCTCATCATCCGTCGCTAGAAATCATCAAACAATCAGGCAGGGAGACTTACTTGTGAACAACAGATTAGGATGATAGATGGTTTATAAGATTTGTATACAGAAATAAAAAGCATAACCATAATGAAATCATCCTTTAACTTTTGGTGCAGATACATTACACAAATATCAATCTGATTCCCTAGGGGGTGGCGGCATCAATAGGAGGCGATCTTGATCCTCCTCCTCCTGGATTTGGGCTGCTGCAGCTGCAGTGCGTCTTTGTTCTTGAGCCAAGAGTGCATGCAAGTCGCTCCCATTTGCTAAACTGTTAAACTCAACTGCCTTCGAAGGCATTGTGGGATATCGTCTTTGACAAAAAGTCATCAATCTTTTAACAGACTGCAAGTACTTTCTTGTAGTTTCATCATTCATGACATGGGCTACACTGTTGGTGTAGATCTTTTCACGAGCTGAACGTTCATGAATACCAACCATAGTCACTCCAATTGGCCATGGTGCGTTCCCAATTGCCATTCTGATGTAATGATCCATTGCTGCTAAATACTCTCGTTCCATGCAGCATTTCACCACCAACATCAGTGCTTGCCTAATGTCATCTGGCAAAACCTATCAATCAACATAGATGATGATTGATTAAATGAAAATGTTTTGAATGAAATTGGAAATTGTTAAACTTAGATGATAGATGATGTTTGCTTACCTTCTTCCTGCAAAACTTGAACAGAGGATTCAGGTATCTCGCACACTGTTTGAAAGTAGCAAAGGTTGATTTCCCTTTGGCAGTTCTCTTCTCCGTTTCAGTCATCTCATCCAACTCCTGGTTCCACTCGATTAACAGCTTCTTGAAAAACACAAGAATCTTATCCTCATCACACAGATCTGCAAAATTTGCTTTCATTCGTTTGAAATCCTTATCTTGGTCCATACCTGAAGAACCACCATCTCCGCTAACATCATCTTCACCTCCCCCTCCATCTTTATCCTCCGTCGACTCATCCGTCGTCTTCCTTTTCCGATCACTCGATAGACCAGACTTTTGCCTCTTCTTCAGTTCAACTATATCACGCAGAAAATCGTTCGTTTGCCCCTCCGTCATATCACTATCGTCCAGCTCAAACAGCCCTGCCTTCAACACATACTTCAATCGATCCAACCGATCATCGTCACTTTCCCCAAACAGTGTAACTGGTTGTTTCAAGAACCGGAGCCGACGAATAACCTCTTGTTTCGGTAGATTTAGAGCGTCAATCTTATGTTCGTCACTTATTGGGGTTTTCGAAGACGAGCCGACGCCTGATTCAGGTTTGGACTTCGAAGAGTCGAGTTTAAAGTTGGGGTTGGAGGAAGAATTAGGATCAGATGAGTTAGAATTGTTTTGATTCTGATCTTGACGGAGGCGTTTGGCCTCGGCGTCACGTTTCTCTTCCTCGCGAAGCTTTTGGATTCGTCTCTGTTCGATCTCTGAACGCTTGAATACCTTCCGTCCGCCGGTCTCTTCCGACAGACTTTGCCTTTTCTTTAGCAACTCTTGCTTCAGGATATCCATGGCGATCTGATGCTAGGGTTTCTAGGCTCGCTTCGGTGTTAAAGACGAGACATAGATTTTCGATTGGAAAAGTATGTATAAGTTGTTAAAAATAAATAAATAAATAAAAAGACAAAGTTGCATAAATGGTCCTTGTAGTTGTCAAAAAAATACCGTTGTAAATTATTTTGATAAATTTTTGACATATGTGGTCTTTGAGAGTTTTGAACATTGCACCGAGGTTTTATGTCTAACAGTGTCAGTGAAACATCCCGTTTATTAAATAAATAAATAGATAAAATTGATGAATGAATAGTAGCCCTAAAATCCATAATATTTAGTGGGGTGTTGGTTTTGGGGAGCCAAATGTTATAATTTGGATTATTCGGGGGTTAAAATGTAACTTTGAGATTTATTTTGTAAAGATTTTAAAATGATAGGGGGTGTTTGGTAAGTATTGGACTTATTGTGAAAGGATTTTGAAAACTGAGGGTTGTTGGGTAAATTGCGGACTTGATTTGAAAGGGATTTTGAAAACTGAGTGTTGTAAAAATGTAATTGGTCACGGAATAATCAAGAAATTCATAACCACCACCGCGAGGTGGTGGCTGCCGCCGTTGACCGCCACTACCCGAGGTGGTAGTGGGTGGTGCCCGACCTAATGAAACCCTAGTTGACCTAATGAAACTAGAGGTGCACAAATATCGATCCTGAACCGGTCCTGGATCGGTCCTAAGTCGATCTTTTTTTTTTTGGATCGGTCTTTTTTTGGAGCGGTCTTTTTTAGACCGGTCCCGATCGGTCCTCGGTCGGTCCTTTTTCGGTCCCGTCCTTTTTTGGATCAGTCTTTTTATGGATCGGTCTTTTTTCGGATCGGTTTTGCTATAAACTAGTCCGATACCGGTCTTTTTTCGGTTCGGTTTCGGTTTTTTGTTTTCGGTTCGGTTTCGGATTTTTTTCGGGTTCGGTTTCGGATTTTTTCAGGTTTCGGTTTTTCTAGTTTTTTATTTCACTTCAATTGTCTTATGATACATTTCATAACATTATAAATCATCATCCATCAAATACATATGTAATAATTCCAAGATTTCATAACTTCGACATATCATTAACATATAAACTTAAAAATTAAGTTCATAATATTACATAGAAAACAAAGAGAAATTGGGTTCATAACATTGCATAAAAGACTTAGTAAATATAAATAAGTTCATAACATTAGTGATAATTTCTAAAACATAAATATATCATCAGAATGTCATATCTGTAGGGAAATTCCAAAAGTTGTAGTTGTCGTCGGAATAAAGAACTTCTTGGTCAGGGTTGGAGTAATCTTGGCCGGGAGTGATGTTAGATGATGTACTTGTAAAATTTGCATTGCGTGCTTCTTGAGTGTCGACAATATCTTCATCAACATCGGTGTTAGTGTATGATGACACTTCCGCGCCTCTTTTTTCCATTTCATCTACCAAAATCTCGGTTTCCATATGGGTTAACCCTTCTTCAAGATCCGCGCTATTTTGTGTTCTCTCCATTGAATCATAGTAGTCCTTTAGGATCACCGACATTTGCACCGATTCATCGGTTAGCATACACCTTCGAGCACTTAATATCCTGCCACTAAGAGAAAAACAACATTCCGAAGCTACGCTACTAGCTTGGACCGTTAGTACATCCCTAGCCATTGAGGCTAGGACTTTATATTGACCTAATCGTTCTCTATCTTCCCACCACTTTAAAACATCCAATTGTGAAAATTGTTCATCGGTTATATTAGAAGCATAATCAGAATCTTTATACATTGAAAGTTCATCTAAAGACGTTTGATTGTATCTTGGACGTTTTGATTGACTATCCCTAAACCATAAGGATCCGATACTCAAGGAACTAGGTGGCCTCATGATAGAGGTTGAAGAACTAGTTTGTTGAGTTGGTGGCCTCGGGATAAAAGTTGACGAATTTCGAATTGCATATTCATTATCATATATCATATATAATTGTTTAATCGTGTCTTCAAAAACTGATATATTTTTAGTTATGTCAATATCATCTGATCCCAAAAGATTGCCGATACTAAGTATACTATCTGTTACACCTTTAAAATTCACATATGGATTTAGTGCTGAAGCGATCATAAAAATCGGTGGAAATTCTTCAAAATATTTTTCAAGCTTTTCCATCATTAGAGAAACAATTTTCTCCCATTGCGGATCCAACCCCTCAAAATCGGCTAATGTTTTTATTATTTGAGTAATACTAATCAAAGAAACGTTAGATGTTGGACTATATGTTTGTGACAACATAAACGTTGCTTGATATAGTACTCCTAAAGCCGTATGTAACTCAAGGAGAAGAGTCTAATCCATCTCGGTAATATCCGCATCGGATTCATGGGGAATATGTTCTCTATGATATTCGCTTAATAAATCTTTTTGTTTTAATAAACGTTCAATCATTAAGTAAAGAGAGTTCCACCTAGTTGGCAAATCCGCGGCCATTTTTAAAGCTCTTTTTCCTTTCCTTTTGCAAAATTGTTTGTATTTTTGTTGTTCAATAGGCCCACTTCTAAAAATTGATGCATTTAGATCTCTAAATTTTGAAAGACGAGTTTCCATTACTGAAACACCATGTTGAACCGCCAAATTGAAAATATGACAACAACATCGCACATGATAAAATTTGCCATCACATATTGGATTTAAAGCTCGTTTCACTCGATTCATTGCATTAGTATTGTTACTAGCATTGTCGAGTGTTATAGAAAGTATTTTATCTTTTATACCAAAAGCGTTCATGATTCTAATTAAAATCTCATATATTTGTTCACCCCCGTGTGGGTGAGGAAATTGTTCAAAAGCAAGAATTCGTTTATGCATAATCCATGTTTTTGGATCGATCCAATGTACCGTGATGCAAATAAATGATAGAGCGGTACCATGTGGAGCGGTCCAAACGTCGGTGGTTAAAGAGACTCTTCCCGATAGAGCGGTACCTCATGGATTTTTTTAAATTTGTTCATTGCATCACGTTTTAGGGTTGTACGACTTACATGACAATAATCTGGTTGTAGAGCTTTCTTGATGAATCTAATAACTCTCGGCCGAGAGAAAAAATCAAATGGAAGACTTTCTTGTATAACTAGTTGCATAGATAATTGGCGTGCTAGATCATTATCGTAATGCCAAGATACTCCATCATTATCAACTTGTGTTTGCGCAATTGCATTCTCATGTTTCTTTCTACATGAGATCTAATAATTTCAAAATAAACTACATTAGTACAATTAACGAAACAAAACCTAAGTTATTATACATAATTTAGTATAATTTATAATTAATAACTTGCATTGTCTTGGTTATATCGACTAGTATTAATCATAAACTAAACTAACTTAATCATAAATTAAATTACTTCTAAATAAACGAAACAAATTAAAGTAAACTAATTAAACATAAGAAACTATTAAAGCGATAATAAAAAAATAAGAAAACTTACATCATGTCGTTCTAGTGTCGCATTTGCACCGGCATAAACTTTTCCACACCGATAGCATCTACCGTATAATTTTTTCTGTTGACGTAGTTGCGCAAAATTATTCCAAACAGGTGCGGTACGATTTTCTTTGCTAATTTCATCAAATGGTTGGTTCGGATCAAAACCGGTGCGACCAACGGGACGGGAACTACTTTCTTCGCCACCCGACATTATCCGGATGTGGAAACTTCAAGCTTTGTAGTGTAAATTTAGAGACATTTTGAGTAAGGGATAGAATTTGAGGTGAGAAAAATAGTTGGATATAAATAAGTATTTATAGTGTAAAAAAAATCAGCAAATTAAAAACATTTATAGCCGTTGGCTTTAAATCTAACCATTGTAAACTTCTTGAAAAAGCAAATCAGCCTGTATACAATCGCATTTATACTAGCCGTTGAGTATTCTATTAATTAGTTATTATTATTATTATTATTATTATATTATTATTAGTTATTAGAGTAAAAAAGAAAAAAGCAAAGGAATGGAGTCAGGGAGTAGGGACGAATGGAGTTTGTGTTAGTCACTTTGTCCCACATCGCTTGTATTACAAAAGATAAGGAAGCTGGGAGCAATATAAAAAGGATGTAAGGGAAACTCTATTCGCATGAAAAAATTGAAACAAAACCTTAATTTTGGAGGCCTCATATTTAATTGGGCTACCAAATGTTTTTCATTTTCTGGACCGGTTGGACCGGTTTGGATTGGGAGCTGTCCAAAAAATGGACTGGTTTATTTTTGGACCGGTTCAATTATGGACTGGCTTAGGACTGGTCTGGACTGCCACGTATATCAGTTTTAAGGACTGATTAAGGACTGCGGTGTGGACTGTTAAAAGGACTGACCGGTCCAGGACTGGTTCAGTCCATATGCATCTTTTTTGGATCGGTTTGGATTGGTTCTTTTGCCCACCTCTAAATGAAACCCTAATTGATCTAAAGACTTAGCTTTGGGGCCTAATTGGTGTGTTTTGGGTTGGAAACCCTAATTAGGGTTTAGAAAACCCTAATCTTGGAGATTTTAATTTGGACTTGCCGGGACCCGCATTTGGACTGTTAGATTGGAATTTTTAATTATGTCCGACTATACCGTATGATTTATCTAGTGGAGTGGTGGACTTAATGGATTAAGCCCTTAATGGGTTAAGTAGGAACACTTAATCCTAATCGTCATTTTATGTGAAAAACCCTAATTGGGTTTGGGTTCTTATTGGGCCATTTCTTGGACTAACTTGTTGTGGGCCTTCGTGGGCCAAATGGGAACATGTTTATGGACTAAGGAAATTATTGGGCTTTAGGATAAGGCCCATTGGGAAGGCTTGGGCCCAATTTGGAAAATTGGGCCATAAATGGGCCAAAATTGGGCCTTGATGATTATGAGATATTGGACCATCGGAATGCCAAATGTTGGACTATAATAAATGATTGGGCCTCAAGATAAGTCCATGTAGAGGTTTGGGCCCAATTTAGAGAATTAGGCCATATGTTAGGCCTTGGTCGATTATTGGGCTTTTGGGCTTTCAGAGTGTGTGTTTGGACTTTGGTTTTGGACCAAGTTAGGTTAAGGGTAAAATAGTCTTTTTACCCCAAGCATTGACTTATGGTTATGTATTGGAACCCAATTATTAAGTGGGTGTTGTTTTGATGTTGACAGTTCGGGAATCTGTCAACCGGCAGCTAGAGTTTTATCCGCAGGACTTCGGCAGTGTGAGGTGAGTCTCATCACCATACCAATGGGTCTAAGGCACTAAGGCCGGCCCATTTTATGATATGTGGTACCCTAGTTGAAGTTGTATTATGTGGCATGTTAGTTGGTACGTACTAGGAAGTATGCTAGTGGTATAAGTGTTATGCTTGTATGGAAGACCATGGGAGAGCCCATGGCACCTGGATGTAAGACCATGTGGAGAGCCCATGGCTTTCCTATTAAAACCATGGGAGAGCTCATGGCGCCTAGATGTAAGACCATGTGGAGAGCCCATGGCTTTCCTATTAAAGACCATGGGGGAGCTCATGGCATTTAGGTGTAAGACCATGTGGGGAGCCAATGACATCCTAGAGTAAGACCCTGGGGACGAGCCCACGGCATCCCTATATGTTGTATGCATGACTTATATGGTTTATGTAGCTTTTATAGCTAATATGGATTATGTGATTATGTGGACTGTGTGGGGTATGCTCTGGGGGAACTCACTAAGCTTCGTGCCTACAGTTTTGTTTATTGTTTCAGGTATCATCGGTTTGGAAAGGAAGGGCCCGACTTGATCGCAGTGCACACACCCATGTTTTCCGCAATGAATGATTTTGGGATGAACTCTGATAAATGTTTTAATTAACTATGTTTTTGGAATGTCTGGATTAAATGATATCTATGTTTGACTATAATAAAAATGAAATTTTTACCATTGATTTTTGGGTCGTTACAAGTTGGTATCAGAGCCTTGGTTTGAGGGATTTGGACATTCTTTCGGGTGTGTCTGAACTCAAACTGAGGATTTGTAAAGTTTTCAAAAAGAAAAATGTTTTCAAGGAAAAAGTTTTCTAAAACAAGAAAGGGTGTGGTGCATGCAATCAGCCGAGCTCAAGTAAGTTTCCCCAGAATACCCATATATGTTACCTGTTATGACTTGATTTATGAATCTGATAATCGCATGCTAGTTAGGGCTAGGAGAGATGCCTTTATATGTTGTATGAGCTGGTAGACTTGCATGCTAGTGCTGAGTAGTCAGCGATAGATTGGCCTGATATGTGATGTTTGTAGCCTTGGAGATACTGGATGCTATGCTGGAATGGGAATGATTATTGGTATTAGTACTACTACGTGTATGCTTTTAAAATTGTATACAATTAGGATCTTATAGCCTTAGAATAATTGATTTGGCCATATTTCATGTTCTATGTTTAGTTGTCGTCCTAGGGTAGAGTCTATTATTCGGCAGTCTATTAGATCTTGTTATGTGTATAATTTGCATGCATGAGGCAGCCGACAGCGAGGGTGAATGTGGATAACATGAGTTGTGGTATGAGGGTTGAATGGTCTATGACAGTTTCATGGATTGGAG